CTAGGCGTATATAACGCATTAGTTAACAGATAGGGTTCTTACTGGGAATGTCCTTGGTTTTTAATTGACGCCCTTCGAGATTATAGTAACGGCTTATAATAAAATTTCAACAATTCTTAAAAAAATGCAGTGGAGTGAACACCCTGCGATCTAAAACAAACTTCGCACATAGATGCCGCCTTCAATTTTGGCAATCAGCTGTTTTATCGATTGTAATTCTTTGCACGCGACTGTTGGCATGCCAAAAAATTTTGTAACAAAATTTGTGGAAAACGTAGAACACTTACAAATCCTAATCAACAGCAGAAAGGCAGATCCTCGACACACGTTTCAATAGCGTTGCGATAAGAACTTCAAGGAATCCATGTCATCGCCGGTTTCTACAGGGGAAGCGAGGGGAGAAACCCCACAGATAGCTGAAGAAATGGGTGAAAATACAAGTGAATTTGATGAAATTGAACGCTTGGAAAGTGGAGATGAAGCGCTGCCAAATTTTGCATTCCCCTATCTTAAAGGTAAGCTTAAACCCTTGAATTTGTCTTCTCTCAAACTAAGCGTGTGCACGTGTTGGTCGGGTATACTGCACCCTCGTCAGTCAAGTCTACGTAACCGGAACGACCCAGATTAATATCTGACCATGGACTGTCACTCCAGCAACACCCCAAAAGTTCTTTGGTGAATATGTATGCTGTTATAACAACAACAACGTGGTTGAATTTCGTTTCCACGACAATCGGGTGTACATAACCGGAATGACCCAGATTTATATCTGGCCAAATACTGCCACATCAGCATCCCTCCCCAATAACTCTTTGGGGAAATTTTATGTTGTGTCCATAACTAACCTCTTTTCCTTGTAGATGATCCAGACTTGCAATATCATTTCAAAACGGACGATGCCGACACGATCGGTGTTAATGAATATTTGGAAGAAGCCATTACGAGTAATTTTAGTTCATTAGAATTCAAATGGCATAGTGAATGTCTGGTATTTATTTGGATTGCTGGAGCATGAACATGAAGAGGGCGTTCTAAATGTTATCAATTTTTTTAGATTTGCTCCGAGCAGTTTGAAGAGTACCAAGATTTACTACAGCACTGCATTAGCTTACACAGGAATGAGTTTGATGAATATACATGCCCGTTGCAGGACTGTAATGTGGTTATTGAAAATGAGGATTTACTTGCCAGGCACTTGGTATTACGACACGGTGATTTAGAAAGGTAAGCAATATAACGGTGTTGCATAAACCGTTTGTAGCGGCATAATTAAACCGTCGCATAGTACCATGAACGAAAGACACAAGATCACGCCTTCCCGAAAGAAAGAAAAAAGTTATTTTCTAGCTGTTGAAATCTCGACGCCATCTTTGTTGTAAGAAGTAAACGAAGAGAACAAAAAAAAAACCGCGTAATTGTTGAACGCAAAAACCGCGTAATTGTTGAACGCATGAATAATCATTTTTATTATGCAAATTCTTCTATAAATCATGTCGTTGTGTTAAATTATTCTCTACCTTATGTGTGCACACGTTGTCACAAGCGAAAATTGAGAAAATTGCAGTAAGAAGCCACCACCAAATTGTAAACGACGAACAAATGTAAACAAACGGCTAATCTCAATGTCGCCCAACTTTTTTCCTAAATGCGATTATAACGGGCTACTAAGAAGAAGGCGTGATCTTGTATTTTTGGTTCATGGCATAGTACCATTATCTACAATAATAACAACAACAACCCTTACCTGACTAATTAATTGTGGATTCGTTAGCTTAAAAATATATGGCACTTGCCCCTATTGCGATCTGCGGTACTCAAATTTTCATCATCTCAACAAACATTCCTGCTATAACAAGTTAGCCCGAAAAGCTTGCAGGCAATCTTATTGTCAATATTGTAAAGAAGAATTTGTGTCACATAAACGGTAAATACTCTTTTAATTTGCAATATCATTCGACAAAAATTATATATTTGCTCTGCTTTAAGATTTATTTTCCACCTGCAATTTCATTTGACTGAGCGGCGGTCTAAGGTGTGTTTGATTTGCAACAAAGACTTCACGGATGTAAATGAATTTTTCGTGCATGTCAATTATGAGCATGATCCACCAGAAAAACTGGCATGCAAGATGTAAGATAAAAGATAGCAATGCTATTTAATTGTTACTGTTTTAATACTTACGCAAATGATTTAACGTGCTTAATGTGGCCACGCCAGCTGTGATCGCATATTTACAGATACGGAAACGTTCGGCGCACATCAGAAATCACATGAAACGGAACCAAAATATAAGTGTGATGAATGCAGCAAATCTTATCATATTAAACGACTGCTGTTGAAACATAAAGTATGCTTTAAAAATTTCCTGTTAATTATCTTAAGTAATACCACATAATTTTTAGGAGGATTTCCATACCAATATTGAGTACAAATGTGACTTATGTCCAAAAATATTTCCTACTTTGCCCATCTATGAAAATCACCTTAAATGGCATGATACTGACGCCGAGGTTCATGTGTACATCTGTTCGAATTGTGGTTTGATTGGAAGTGATAAAGAGAATCTTGAGGTATCTAAGAAAACCAAGTTTATTTTATTTAGTTCGATTTTAGTTTTCTCCTTACTACAGAAGCATACCTCAGACTCCTGCTCGGAATGCTTTGATTGTGAAATTGAAGAGGAGATACTCATAGCAGCTTATAGATGCCATTTCTGTGCACAAGATTTCAAAAATAAGGACTCTCTCAGAAATCATCGTGCTACAGGCTTGCACGACAATGGAAAATTTTGCTGTCCTGTGTGCAATGAAGAGCTTGATAATCTAAAAGCGAAGCGCATACATATGATATCAATGCATAAAAACCAGAAAAGCTCATTAGAAAGTCTACCGCTCAAGCGACTTCTTATGTGTGATGTTGGAGTAAGCACAAAATTTATTTTATTTATACTTACTATTATGCATATGTTATAATGAACTTATACGTCAAAATTTACAGGAATGTGAAGAGTGTTATACTCAATGGCCTGCTCTGCAACGACACAAGAATCGCCTACACAAACCAAATACTTGTCCGAAATGTAATCAAAAACTTGCGAATTCTAATGAACTAAAAAACCATATTGAACATTGTCGACCATCTGAATTTATCTGCCAATTTTGTGATAAAGTGTGTCCAACAAAAATGTCATTGGCCGTACATGTGGCTAGAAGGCATAATAATAGTATGTAACAGTTATTAAAATTCGCTGGTTTTATCTAATTGCTAATAATGAACTATTCGCCTTGTAGAGAATATATTCTGTCCGCATTGCTCCTGCGCATACAAAAATGAGAAGGCGTTGCAAGATCATATCGACTATTCACACGTGCCTGTGCCTTGTACGCATTGCGAAAAGGTGATTAACTGCAAACGATATTTGGAGACTCATATGCGAGTGGTGCACGAAAGTGAATGCAGATATTATTGCGAACATTGTAATAAAGGTTTTTTTCATCGTTCACAAAAGGAATTACATGAAGTTAATGTAAGTTTAAAAGGCTAAAGTGGCCAGCATATTTTCTTTTTTTCATAAAGAACTTTAATGATCGAAATTTATTCTCACTCTTTAGTTTCATCCAGACTCAGTTTATAAATGCGGCGAATGTAATTTCACAACAAAAAAACGCAAAATCACTAGAAATTCATATTGCTATTCATTTGAAAAAGTCTGAATTCAAATGTCCGTATTGCCCGAAAATATATGGCCGTAAAAACGCATTGAGTTCGCATATTAAGCGGCATAAAGATGAAAGGCCGTAAGTGTTTGCCAAATAAGAAATAATTAGTTATATATGTGTTGAACACCTTTTTTCTGTTACAGTTTCAGATGCTCGGATACTATTGTTGATGGTTGTGATGCTACATTCATCGAAAGTTATCTACTCAATAGACACATCGCAAATAAACATTCCCTGCGACCCCAAAAAACTAACGAAAATAGCGCAAAGAGTAAGCGAAAGAAAAATGCCTTATACCAACGAAAATTAGGAAGAAAAAATAAAAGAGAAGCGCAGGCGTACCAGCCAGCAATGAGAACTGGAGCAATTAAATGTGAAAATGCCGCACAAATGAATGATGTACTTTTCGAAACGAATGTAGCCAGCTTTCCTGGAGTGGGGGTGTCAGATGAGAAAGTCTTTATTAATATGGACGGTTTGCAAAATACAACCAGCGGCGAGGATTATATGCTACTAGTAGTGGACGACGGTGCGATGCCATTGGTTAATAGTACAAATGGACAACTCTATGTGCTGGACGACACAGAAATCACTACAAGTTGAATACTTACATTATACGCATTTCTGATGGGTCAATAAATAAATCAAATGTTTTATATACTGCTTACGTAATACATTGTAATGCGTATTTATTGTTTTGGGTTTTAAAACTTGTTAAGTAACCAATTGCATTGCATATACTATAAATTACAAGTTCTGTGAACATTATTTTTGTTTACAATTGGCGCTCAAAAAGGAAACGAAAGGAAGTACAGCGCAGTTCACAAACATCGGCGATCCATATTTTACACGCGGCCGTATGCATGCATGCTTGTTCTTACAATAAACCAACGCTGTACATGTGCGTTTTTTCATTATTTGATTAAATATTTGTGCATGTACGAATGTATATTTTTCGCGCTAAAAACCACTACAAGAAACTACAATTATAAACATATGTATAAGTTTAGTTACGTAAGTATGTATGTCTTTTTGTTGCATAGCCAATTTGTATAGATATTGCATTTACATATAAGTTTTTAAAACACACTACAAATTACTGTATCAGAATTTACTTAATTGCACGCAATCACATAAATTTGACTGCATTTACATGTCATCAAACTGCAGCGTAGTTAACAGCGTTATGAAGAAAAATTGGCATATTCCAGTTTCAAATGTTTAATTCGCAATTTCATTTGTATATATATTGTATATATGTATTATCTAAAATCGTCTACTTTAATTTGTCTTTTTTGATTTTTTGGCTTGTTTAGTTTTTTGTTTCTCCTGCCTCTTCAGTTCCTTCTCCATTAACGACTTGTACAATTTGTAGCCGAAGAGCGCTGTAAATAAATTAAGAGAAATAAAATTAATTTATAAGAGTTGATAGGAACGGTAAGACTAAATTAATAAAATACAAAAAAAAAAGTTTTTAATATACAACGCTTTTATAAATGGACTAAAAATTAGACAATAATATTTCTCATTCCCATAGTATTTGTTTTGATAACTTTTGATTTTGAAATTTTAGCAAGTCATTATAAACCATTTGAAGGGGTTAGAATCAAAAGGATCTAAGTAAGTCTGACATTGTTTTGAGATAATTAAGGCTAAAGTTCATTACTTATTGTAAATTCTGGGTAAATGCATTTGGAACCATTCTTGTCTAAATGAATGCAGGTTAATTAACTAATTCAAAGAATGCTTACTGCAGATGGAAAAAACTGAAATATATTTTTTTGTGTCACTTGGATCCTTTTACTTCTAAGTACCTACTTAGCTAAATTTCTGTAAGAAAATAAATGGAAAAGCTTATTTTTATGAAAATCTACATTTTATTATGTAAAAATGTTATAATATACTACATTAACTCTACTAAAATATTATCTAATCATCGTAATCTGACACAGCGCTGCCGTGAGCTTGATCTGATTCTGTATTTTCTTCTTGAACTCTATAATCGTCTTTTGACTTTGCTTCTTAGAACTCTTATTGTTTGCTTTTTTCTCATGGGGAATGTTTAAATAAAAATCTTGTTGAATAGGTGGAATAAATGGTAGAAGTTGAGTTAAATTTTCCCATTTTAAGTACGGAATCTTCGGTGAAGTTGGATGTAAGGCCGTAAACACATCTTCATGACTTAAAATGACTTGGATCTCTTTGTCACCAAATAAACACAATTGAGGGATTCACAACGGCGTCGTAAGTGTCGTATGTCGTAAGCTTTAAAAGCTTAAATAAATGTTTAAAGTACGTGAAACGCCAATCAACTATTTTTTAATACTGCAAAATTTCATAATATGACTTTGATGGTACTTTTCGAACCTCTTTAATATATTTATTAGGCGTTTAAAGTTTACTACATACAACAATACGACACTTATGACACCGCTGTGAATACCCCAAATATTTAACTATACAAATATGGGTACGAGAAACGTGGAGCGCATGCAATACAAGGCATTAGATTTAATTGACAAAAGTCAAACTACATAACATAGACCTAAAATTTCTATAGCGAAAGTACAAATTTGAGATCGATTTTAAGCGGTCGTTATTCATATACCCACATACATACATACATATATGTATTACTTTTCATATCAATTCAAGTCTTATTACATGCTCGCCACGCTTTTCATTTTCAATCTCATAAATGGTTTATAATGACTTGCTAAAATTTCAAAATCAAAAGTTATCAAAACAAATTCTATGGGACTGAGAAATATTATTGTCTAATTTTTAGTCCATTTATAAAAGCGTTGTATATTAAAAAGTTCTTTTTATTTTCTACTTTTTAGCCTTGTCTGTATAAAATTTTGGAATAGATACTAAATAATTCAACTTGCAGTAAAAAAAGAACAGAAGACTATAGGTGCGTTCGACAAGTCAAAAATTTGTAATAGTTTTTCCAAATTTTTACTGGATGGCGTTCGATAACGACAAAAAATTATCCAACACACAAAAATTGAGAGAGCAAGCGTTCATTTTGATGCAAGATAAGCGTTCATTTTGTACTGGCAAACTTTTAGTCAGCAAAAATTATCCAACACAAGTTGCGTTCGATAACAAAATTAGCCAACACCAGCCAACAATCAAAATCAAGAGAGTAAGCGAAAATTCTCTCCCAAAGAGATGAAAAGGCAAAAAAGTAAACGAACAGGAAATTAGCCTATTAGTCTGTTCCAATAGCAGTCCGGTTTACAGGATTTAGTCAGAACTTACAGGAAGTCGTTCCTATTGACATAAAACCTGTAAGTGGGAACACATTTGAGAGAGTAACTGAGCAACTGTTCCTAGTAAGAAATTACAGGATTTAGTCCGGAGTTTTTTTTCCTGTAAGTTCATGAAAAGTGTCAAACGATCAGCTGATTTGCATGTGCAAGCAAAAACAAACAGCGGTGAAAGCAAAGTACCTTATATTTGTAAAAAAAATGGAAGTAAACAACGAAATGTTTGAATATGTATAGATTTTAATAATTATTTAGTGATATTTCAGCTAAATCAGTGTTGTACAAATCACATGTAAACAAACCGACTGACGTTTTTACAGGAAATAGTGCTTTTTGCGTTCCTATGCACTTCTGCATCTGTTCTCCTTTTACTCTCATTTGAGAGAGTAAAATTGTAGTTTGACAGTTCCACAGGTTTTAGTCCGAAGTTCAAAGGAACAGACTAATTACTTGCAAAAACCGGAAGAAGAAGACACACCAGCTGACTTTGTTTATGTTTTATTTGTAAACAAACTGAAATTCATGTTGCCTCCATAGAGAAAAAAGGAAAGTGAACGTTCAATGTTCGCCAGGAACATTTCTAGAAGTAAAAACTAGTTGGCGCTATCATAAAGTCACATAGCAGGCAGCCAAAAAGCATATAAATACCAAAACTCGGAAAATGCAATTTTGTTTGTTTACAAAAATTGCAACCATATGTTTCCTGATAATTTAATATAAGTAGGTGCGTTCGACAAGTCAAAAATTTGTAATAGTTTCGCCAAATTTTCTATTCCCACTCACGAGAAAACGACTTTTAAAATACCACGGATAATCGATAATCGACAAACAGTCGCTTATCTAGTACGAGTCGACACTCGCAATAGGGGTAACATATGTGCATACAATCATATAGCAGCAGTAAATTTCATTTAAATAAATGGCGTGCCGTCCATTTCCGCTGTAGCGTATGTAAATCGTGCATTTATTTAGGCGAAATATTTAATTTCTTCTGGCGGGGCGGCATCTATAGTCTTCTAATTGTTATTCTTTGATATGATGCCTACAACGAAGTTGATATCTAGAATTTGCCATAAATAGCTTTGCTACATTTATAGTATAAATGGTGGTCTGGCCATACAACATTGCAAGTTGAGAAGCGTTGTAATAAAAATAAAATGAAATGGCGTTTGCTGGAAGAATAAAAATAAAATGAAATGGCGTTTGCTGGAAGAACGCCATAGCTCAGAATTTCAAACAGGCTTTCAAGTTTTGAGTTAAATTTTACGCATAGAACAAAATAAATAATGTGCATATGCAATGATAAAGCAATTACGGCAATTAATCGCGCTAGAACACGAAGAACTTCCTTTCTTTACCGGCATGTGCTTCTGCGCAGTTGCGAAGCGATGTAGAAAAAATTATACTTGGCTCTCACTATTACGAGGATGTTATTGGGCCTGTACCCTAGGTAAAAGATTGTCATATGTTACTTACAGCAGTTTTTGGGAAATCGCGATTGAAGTTTGGATGCAATTTCTCAAAAACGCGAAAACTAAAGGAGACATACAAATACCGAATTTTCGGCGTCTAAAATTGCTCCAATAAACTACTACTCTCTTTTCCTTCTCGCCCATGAAAAATCGGTTTCGGCCGGTATTAAAAGATTCTCGAGAGTTAACACTACACTACAAACAACCACGTCACCTACACAAACTTCATATCTTGGATCGAATTCCCATTTTTCTCTATATACCTCAGGTTTTTTTACCTTGGATAAGCAACTCTACACATGCTATCTTATCGCCGATTTTAAAACTGCTTTTGGGATAGCAAAGAAAACATCTTATAGCTCCGTTTAAGGACCTCTCCGAGCCGTACGAAACCAAACGAGATTGTAGGCAACAAGGCGATTCATTATCATGCGATTTCTTCAATTTGAAGTTGGAAATACGAGCTGCCCATCTAATTGCAGCGGCATCATATCCAAGAAACGCGCTATGCTGCTTCCGTATGCAGATTGTCGATATTAGAACGAGCGCTGTAAGTATCTCCTGGCAACACACAAAAAGCCTCAACACACGTAACTGTTGGAACTACTTTGAAAGACCGCGTATAACATCAGCCTGGAGTTCAACCAAACAATACGTCTGGCCAACAGGTGTTAGTTTGAGTTCGGTAGGCAATTGAAAAGCAGCGCCATCTCGACGAACAAAAATCACTCTTTCACCATGTCCGTCCTTTTATATAACTGAGTAACATAGACGATTTCGAATAAAGATGTTTTCGGGAGAACTACATACGGCACTCTGCATAGGGAACTGGCCCGTAGGAGCACATGCCGAAAGGACGGCTTGCTCTTCAATAGGTTATGTCGCAGCTGTGCCCAGCTCTCGGAATGATGAAGCTAAAGATACTATTTCAGAGTACAGCCGTCCCTCTCTGTATGACCTATTGAAATTCATTAAAGCCGCCAAATGGCTGTGGGTTGGACGAGTTGTGGAATCAAAATGGCAAAACTTGCTAATTGCATGTTGTCAGGGTGACAATTCTCTTCAACCCAACCAAGACGATAGACAAGCCAAGGGCAAAAGGACCTGCCCACACAGAGTACATAGCAACGACACGATTGCGGTTTCAAATAAGCAAAATAAACAGATAATTCATTTACTTTCAATGTCATTGCAAATGACGCCAGGCGGAAGTAGATTAAAGTCCTTAATTTATTAAAAATTTAACAAATTTTAAAAAGTATAAAACTTCGTTTATTTGGGGACCAGCATTAACACCAATAATAATGTCAGCCTTGAAATCAAACACAGAATCACTCTTGCCAACAAGTGCTGCTTTGGACTGAGTAGGCAATTCAGGAGTAAAGTCCTCTCTCGACGTACGAAAACCACACTCTTATAAGTCCCTCATCATGCCCGTGTTGGTATATGTCGCAGAAGCATGAACAATGACAACATCCAAAGAGGCGGCTCTTGGAGTATTCGAGAGAAAGATTTTGCGGAAGATTACGGGCATTTGCGCGTTGGCGACGGCGAGTACCACAGACGATGGAATAATGACATGGACATAGTGCAGCGAATTAAAATACAGCGTCTCCGCTGGCTTGGCCATGTCGTTCG